GAACGCCGAGCACCTCCGTGGTGCAAACTTGTTGATCACATACACGCTTGTAGGATGGCCAAGAATCATGAAGAGAGGGGTAAAATATATTTAATACTTTAACTCAGGAGACCATAATAATATTCAAATTACATACAGGCATATGTATTCCTGAAGAATTTTTCAGAAGAACTCCTTTAGAATGCCTTCTTTGTCTTTGAATGTGATGTCTTTGAAAAATTCAATATTTCCTGAAATTTGGAAAGCCTCTTTTTTGGTGCCTATTTTCAAATCTGGCATGAAATCTGACAATTACCGTAGAATTGACATTATTTCTTGCATTCCAGAACTTTTTGAATCTATCATAAACGACAACATTTATTAACAAGTAAAAAACCAAATAACAAGTCAACAGCATGACATCTTCAAGGGCCGCTCCACTGCTTCTAATCTTCTGGAGTTTGTCTCTTTTACATGTCATGGATAATGGTAACCACGTAGAAACTCTTTATTTTGACTTCAGTAAAGCATTTGACAGAATCGACATACCATTATTACTCTTCAAGCTGCAGAAATTAGGAATGGAAGCCGGTCTTTTGAACTGGCTCCAGTCCTACCTAACAAATAGTAAGCAAATTGTGCGCTTTCAAAATAAAATTTCAGAACCAATTCTAGTCACCTCTGGGGTCCAGGGATCTCATTTGGGTCCACTTCTTTTTTATTTTGTACGTAAACGACATTTTCTTCATTCTTAAGAACATTAAAGTACTTGTGTATGCAGAAGACATGAAGCTCTTCATAGAAATAAGAAACACCTCCAACGCAGAAATATTCCAGAATGAAAAAAAAAAATTCTACACCTGGTGTAGCAAAAGTCTACTCCAACTCAACGTAGAAAAAATGTAACGCAATAACATTTAGTAGAAAAATTGAAATCCCTTGCATAAACATACATTTAGGAAACGAAATAGTAGACAAATGCAAAATTGTAAGGGGCTTACAATACTGGACACCAAACTTACATTTGTAGAACATTATAACACTAGCATAAGCAAATCAAATAGCATGCTGGGCTTCATTAAGAGGTTCAGTTACAATTTTCAGGACCCATACACTATAAAATTACTGTACACTACATATGTAAGACATATTATGGAATACTGCCACATGGCTCAATTCCAGCCCATATACCGCCATACACGAAGAACGCATTGAATCTGTCTAAAAGTAATTTCTTTTGTGTGTTATTCGACGACTATATTGGACTGCATTTCCTCTACCATCCTATGAAGCACGCTGCATGCTCATCAATCTACAAACACTAAAGGAATGGCGTGAATTACCAATGCCCAAGTAACATTTTAAGTTTTATGAAATACTACAAAGCAACTATAAAACAACATTCATAAAACCTTGGTCAAGGCTATTTTGCCTTCATTACATCCACCAAAACCTCATTAAGACTAGAATATGTCTAGTTGGCCCACCCTGGAGAAGGTTCTGAAGGGTGTATTATCGAAGCTCTTCAAGATTGATTTACTGCAAAAGGTGCATTTCCCCTAGCCGCTTGCTAAATCCACTAGTGTAAAGCATCAATCAAGATAGAAAAGGATTTATGAATCCGATCTGATCAATATAATTAAAATAGAAACTGATTATATAAAAATCTTGTTGAATATCAAAATTTATTACAATAGTTCTCTTTAAGTGGCCTAGTTTTATGTGCCTTATTAAATGTTATGTGAAATGTACATGAAAACATCGAAAAAAATAAGTCCGCACTCGTAAAACTTCGATTTGACTTTGCATTGATAAAAAAAATATTCTTCAGATCGAGCTTGGCCGAGATTTTTTTAGGATTTTCGCATTTAAATGTTTGCTCATTGCTAGATTTACTTAAATTGAGTTATATCCAAGGAAATATAGATTGAAAATCGAAGAATGTAAAAAAAAAACAAGCAAACTTATTGTAACATGGCGGTGGCATAACAGTTGATTTTCATGGGTCATTTGTGAAAAAGTTGTTTTGCTTTCCAGAAATCCTTAACAAATTCATAAGGTTTTAAAATGGCTTTTATGAAGAAAACTTTCAGGCTGAATTGTATTTATCTAAAGCCATTTTGCTTAAACCTAACCCGTTCAGATTTAATGCAGCATTTATGGAGGTCAAGTTGCCTGCAAATAGTTAAATGTCAAAGTTCGTTTATCTTTCGATAGTTGCGCTGTGGGATCCATCTTCCAGGCGGTTTTCTCCCTATGGATTGTGAGCAGTTACTCAGATAGTTTGCGATACTGTTTTACAACATTTTGCATTTCGATCAGCTGGAAACGCAATCGTTCCCGAAGAAGATCCCCTTCTTTCGGATAGTTACAGAAGTGCAGCATACAACGAGGAAGGGATGTACGCTTACATGAAATTTTCGAAGAATTGATTCTTTCGCCGAATAAAATCGCTGCTATTGATCGGAAACCAGCTAATCTCCGCTAACTAACAGTTTCAGTGGTTTGCTGTCGGTTGTCATCTATTCGCAATATCTGGGAAGGCTGGTATGTTTTTAAACTCTCACTTTACTCTTCTCCACCAGATGGTCAGTCGTTGATGGTGTGCTTGTTCTTCTAAAGAAGTAAATTTGGCTGAAATCGACTTAAGTTTTTCATCCTACTTCGTCTATCCTTCGAGATTTTCTTGTCATAAATTTGGCTTTTATCGAAGACTACAAATCAAGAAGACTGGCAACTGTTCCCTTCTCCCATACAAATGTCAAACGTCACTGATAACAGCGCCTCTGTCAATCAAAGGTGGAACTTTGAAGCACAAGTGTTAGTGAGACTGCTCATAGACAGTGGCTGTGTGTGTGACCTTATGTCACCGAAACGAATAATCATAAAACGGTACTCGTTGTTGTTTTTGTTTTGCTCTACAAAATTTCACGGCAATTTGAATCCTAATCCCAGCAAGCCGGTGGTTTTGCAACTCCAAACCGAAAAACTTGTCATGGTGGATCAAGTAGAGGATTGAAACTTAGATCGATATCTAGTGAAAGTAGCTTTTACTTCTGAACGAGGAACTGAAATATTGTTTATTTTGCCTGTTGGAAGCAAATAATTATAAGGAATTGGCAGCTTCCACCACCATTGTGTGAACTACCGTCATTGCATTGGAAGCTGCTGAAAATTCAAGGATTTAAAAAGAAGAAATCCGATACCTGCATCACGATTTAATGGAAGGCGTAGCAGGATCTAATGGTGGAAAAAATGAAAATGAAAGGTTGAAGCACTACAATTCCATTTTAGATGATGTGGGAACATGAAACCACCGGATAGTGATCCTCTGTATGCTTTAACTATGCTTGGAATCGACCGACTCCTTCCAGAGAATGATAACAACAGTGTCGGATTGGTCAGTGACATTCAAATGGTCAGCTAGTACTGTGCCAAATTGCCGAGCGTCACAACTTAACTCCGCTGTGGCCAGGTGCCAAGGCCGTGCGGAACGGGCATGAATTTTACTAATGCACCATACAAATGCCCATAAATGCATCACTAAATAGCTTAGGAAAAGTGGAAGATAATTCTGAGATAGCAAATTAATGATCAAGGAAGGTCCCACCATTATTGTCAATGGCATCATTGCCATAGTTTTAATTCTCATCACAAATTTACTTATCCATCTGTTCAATGTCAGCTAAAATTTTACTCGTTGTCAGCATAAAGTAAAGAAAGAAACGTTTCACTTTTTACGACAATCATAATAAAACCAATAATTGACAGCTATTTATGTTAATGCACTCATGAATTAACACACACCATCATACAAAGGTTCCACTTTTGCTCATTAGAGGCGTTGCCGTTACTGTCTCCTGATTTTTGGCAGAGTTGCCAGTCTTCTTGGTTTGTAGTCTTCGCTTTTATTAACTATGAGGAACCATCGTTTAAGCTAAATTTGTAAACAGAGTAATTGGGGAGTTTATGATGCACTTTAAAAAGCCTTAAAAACGCAACTATAAATACTTTTTGCTCTAATGCAAAACTTAATGGTTTTATGATTGATTTCATAATGATAGAACACGATAAAGTATTACGAAAAAAATGGCACCATCAATCGAATGATGCGCGAAGAAATTGACATCACTATGTCCAAAAACCAAATAAAAACTCGACTAAGAAGAAATAGAAATAATGCATAGAATGTAAATAACACATTGTTTGCAATCTACTTTGCTTGACAATCTAAAACAATAAATAAGTAGATGAGGTTCCCGTAGATGCCTGACGGCTAAGGCTTTAACAACCTCAAACTGACATATTTGATTCCCAATCCAAACGATGATAATTTTGAAAAGATAATTTTCTCAGAAAGCATATCATCTCATAAAATAAATGACCAATTCACGCCTTGGTCATTTTAAAACATCATTAATTGCTATTAAATACTCATATGATCAACAAAATGCGAGCTAACTGATGTCCCCGGAGGAATAAATAATTTCAATTTAATTTACTGCCTATTCGTCGATCTCAATCGCTCGTTAACCGTTCAACTTCCCATGTGTTATCAACTCATCTAATTACTTAATCTAATAATGCCGTAGATTCCTCGGAATCTCTGATAGACTATTAAAACGGCTATTAAATGCAGCCCCGTAGCCAGACGCCGACGACGATGCGATGGTTGCGTGCCATCGGTAATCGTCGCTACATTTTTCGATAATTCCTGTGACACGAGGACCCCGCAAGTAGCAGCATAGCATAGCGCTAACAGATCGCGATATCGCAATGGTATAATTGAAAAATTCGCACCGCATCGAGTGTCGCATCGATTTTATCAAGATGTAGTACTATCTCGAGTACAGGAATCCCCCGAGTAGTGTAGTGGGTGGTGCAGTCGGCTGATATCCAAGCAATTGAGCTGATTTTTTGTTCGTTCAATCGGTTGGATGGCAGCCGAGAAATAGAGGAGGGTGGGCTGCACCACCCACCGCGCTATTCGGGGGATTCCTGTATTTGTTTTTCACACTTACGTTGGCGGGTTGATGATGGTTAGCAGCTCGGTGGGTGAATTGGGCACTCGACGAATCACCATCCGTCGGCCATCGGTCGACCCCACGCCGATTGAGGCCAACGATCGGATCGAGGTGGCATCGGAGAACAACCTAGGTGTACCGCCGGCATCACTGAAGATGTACGAACCGGTGCGAATGATTGTTGGCTGGAGATGAGCATCGGCGATCCCCATACGGTCCGTGGCTATAAGAGGTGATAGTGAAATAATTCGGATGTCATTCTGTTCTGCAAGAGGGGAGATAATCGTCTTCCAATATTTACCTACCAGAACGTACCGATCTCAAACTGTGGAATTGCTTCGGCTTGGAACTGGGTCCCAGGGGGAACGCTGGATTGAGCATTGAACTGGGCCCACTGGAAGAGCTTTCCCCGATTTCAAACTTGGCGACATGGGGGCTATTATGGCTACTGACGTTGGTGTTATTATAATTACTGCTACTAGTTGGTTGCGACGTTGACGCTGGTAATTGCGCTAGAGGTGAGGTACCCGCACTACCGCCAATGGCACTACCCGGCTGAGATGGAACGATGATGAATTTACGATGATTTGATGGCAGTAGCAGTACCTTTGACTCATCGCTTTGTACCACTACGTTGTTGTTATTCAATTTATTTTGGTTCTTATAATTGGTGTTGATTGCATTGAAATGCAGATCGTTGATCGCTCGCCGGTTCGGTACCGGATTGAGCGATTGCGTTTCCAGCTGGTTCTGCTGGTCCTGTTGGTGGTCCATGATTGTTCACGGTCGTAATTGTGTGGGCGATTTCCTCCCCGGTTAAAAGAGTGTATCACAGTAATCACACGGGAGGCCGTTGCTATCCCGTTACTAATCGACAGGGCGTATGCATTCTCGTCCAGGTTTCTCATCAGTAGCATAAATCTAGTTTGATCATCTGAAATTGGGATAAGAACAATTTGCTGTTTTTAATTGAATTCAAGCTAAAGTCAAGTAATATTTGCATATTTGTTGAACCTGGTGCCAGAGAAAGTAATCCCAAAACAATTTTGTCTGCTAAGATACTATGTATATCGTACTCATATCACTGCTCGGGCTAAGAGATTTATCAGTCGTTGACGACAAATTGTCGTAGTCACTCAACCGCTGCTCTTCAGTCGAGTGTTTAAATATAATGAAATATTAAATACAACAATAGAGCGAACCTCTCCCGAACGTGTAGAGCAGCAGACAGAAACGCAAGACAGATGGACGAATCAATAAAAATAAACATATTTTCTTATTCTCGTGAATGTGTTCAGTCCTAAAAAACACGCCACACCGTCGAGTAGACGAAACAGTTTAAAAGTGAGTGAGTAAAATAGCCTGAAGCAAAAAAAAAACTCATAATACCCCATCATAGTAGATTGGCAGAGCACGCATCGCACCCGGGTTGATAATAATTAGGTACACCCCCCGTTTTTGCCGATTCTTCCTGCTCCGGTTTTTCGTCACATCACATCATCAACCACCATGCTTCTCCACTCTGTTGTCCGCCGGAGGTCTACCTTTGCCATTGTGAAACGGATACGGTTGGTATTTAATAATCTAGCAAAGCACAAGAAAGCGGAATTCGACGCGACTAAAGACAACGCAGCGGCGGTATCGGTCAGAGTCTGAGATACATTATCTGCTGATGCTGCTATGCCTTGTAGAGTTAGTGGACAATCGGTCTAAGAGACCGGCTAATTTTAGACAAACAAAAACATAGCGAAAGAGACAACAACAAAATAGCGGCGTGGTGTGACCTGGTGGTTGCTTAAATGCTTGATGTGGAGGACAGTGTGAGAGTTGTGAGGTGTTATCAATATATGTTACGATGCTATAAACCGACTACCAATGAAATAATGAACTTGGAATCAGTAGGTGCCGCGTTTGAGTATTGGAATGGGTATTTATCATCTACCAAATGCTAAGCTATCTGACTGAACACCAGAAAAATGATATGTCCGATTTCAGTTCATTTAAATATTTGTAATGGGACCATTCGTGTTCCAGTTCCGTATAGGGTTAAGATCTAATTTCCGTCATACTATGCACAACCCGCACTTCACCTCTCTTTTTCGAACGATCAAAAATTAAATGTTTCTATAGAAGTTGTTACTTTCAATTCCGTCCAAATACATTGAATCTTCATTGGATTCACTTCGGCATTCGGATGAAGGCAGAAAAAAGGATTCACTAATAGCGCTTATTTTTAACGTACATATTCATATTAATCGTGCTTATAAAATGTATTTGTACACAGAAAAAATGAATTTTACTGCTGATGCAACATGTAATGATTGTTGCTTTCAAATATGTATGGTTGCATACAACATTTGTAATATTCCTAGAAATGTCGCATAACTTTACACAATCTAAAATGTTAACTTGTATGATATATGACGCTCCATTTATGTGCATCATTACAACAAAAATTTACACGAGTTTTTCAAACTGTGTAACTATCGTTCCAAAAGTACGATTGATTCGCTCACGTCGAATAAATTGACATTTTTTATGGCTCTGCTCGATATGACGAAAATGGGCGCTTATGCCGACGTAGTTCGCTACCCTAGGACATTCTAAATTTAATTTTTTTTTATTGGGCCTAGATCATCATCTTGCTTGCCACATCGTTAAATGCTGTGTTTCGCCATAGTGCCAATACTCATTAATCTAATTACTTATACGCTACTTAATGTAACGCTGAAACACTTAATTTTTATTACGTTTATGTTCTATAAATTATTTTTACCGAGACTCAGTCAAATATTTGCCGATACTCAGGTTTAGAATGTTGATGACATTTCAGCTTACAAACAAATATTTTGCGAAATACCAGTAAAAAGAAAAGCCAAGCTAATCGGCTGTTGGACATTTTACCGAGCTAGATTGAGTGTGTAGGGTGGATTAGTTTTTTTTGTGTGGCGAAAATAAGTGTATTAAGTATAGTGCTTTCATTCCCTGGATGATTGTATGACATTCCCCAGAATGCTGTTTGCCAGAATGCACCATTCCCCAGAATGTACCTACACGGAACTGAAAAATTACCCAAAATTAAGATCTTTTCACTCATCTCCCATGTTCCGTTCAATAAGCTAATTTTATAATAGTAGTTTACATATGACTACGGCAAAAATAATAACTTACTCGTGAGTATTTTCTACCCAAAATTAATTTCAATTGACTCAAATTGGAAAATATATCATATACTCACTAGTACACACTTAGAAAATAATACCGAACTCGGTTTAATTTTCTATCGAACCTCTTCGGTTGCCAACGACAAACCGAATAAATCAAGAGCCACATGTGAAAAGGGCATTTTAGCTTTTTGTAAAAAAAAACCTTTGTATGCCCTTTTCTCGCCAACCGAGAGTCGCGCACGCAAACCAACAACATTATCGGGAAGAGGAAAGTTTCCCCTACCCGATAATGTTGATGGTTTGCGTTGGCGTCATATAGGTGGCGAGAAAAGGGTATAAGAAGGTTTGTTTACAAAAAGCTTATATGTTGGTCTTGAAATGGTTTAAAAACATTTTTTCAGGCGTATTTATCGAAGCAGACCCGAATTTCGGTGAAAATGGTATAAATTTGACAGATAGAAATGGAAACTGAACCGAAAAGTACGGTAAAGTATCGACATTTACGAATTCGCTACGAGAAAACCTAGAAACTCGGTTAGCTGAACCGAATATTCGCTAAAACGTGTTAAACGTCAAACGCTTAAACGTCAAACGTTCAACTTGCGCTCAACTTTACGACGGAAATTTTAACCGAAAACTCGGTTCTCTACGCTGAGTCTAAAATTAGTCAGCCATTTTTTCTCGCGTGTGCTCATCCGACGTGTGCAAAACTTTGGTAAAATGGAAAAAGTTCTGGAACTGCAACAGGAGGATGCACGTTTGAATGAAATCTTTTGTAAGTATTTGAAACTAACGGTATGATTTTTTTTCAGGGATCTTGTGCTTATAGCTCGTTTCTACTACCGTGAAAATATACAAGGTTATGTATCTGGCTTGCAAAGGCATTTTAAAAACCATTTGAATAAGAATGACTTCAAAGTCAGTGATATTTTTGGACAGTACTTTTCACGCTATAACTCGCGTTACGGAAGTTTTTATTCGCCAAATTAAATTAAATAAATATATTTTATACATTTCTTTGACAAAACTGGTTTTATTTTTATTAATATTTGAAGCAACGCATCCTTAATCAAAATTTAAAGCAGGGTTTGAAGTGAAACCCAAGCGCTGCCCAAGAGAACCGTATTCTGTAATTACAACAGGTGAGTCGGTTTGTTTGACAGCGTTCGGTAATTCTTGAGTAAACCGATGTTCGGTTATTTCTGCTTAAATTTATTTTTCGTCAACCGAGATTTTCGGTAACTTTGACAGATTGTGGGTACCAAAAAGAACTAACGACAGCTCGGTTATTCCTCTTTGAACCGACCAGACTACCGAGCGTTCAGCAGATAAAAACTCGGTTGAAATCAAACCTAGTTCGGTAATATTTTCTAAGTGTGTAGTGATATATAGTCGTGAGAAAGTCGAATCTCTAGTTCCGTTTTTGACAACAACAAAAAGTGAGAGTGGGATGCAAAACTCAAAATTACCCAAAATTAACTAAAAAAAAACTTAAATTTAGGGCAATTTCTTTTCTCTGTGTACCATTCTTTGCTCTCCGTTTATAATGCTTTTTGCATTTTGCTTTGTAGTTCCAGAAAACTTTCGTCCTACAATAGGCCTTTTGAATGTACATCCAACGTAGAGGGCACCACGCGAGTTCAAGAGGAAACGTCAACCAAACCGTTGTTTACATCAGAAGAAGGATTTTTCACAACGCAAATTAAAGCATTTTTCATTGAACAGCTTGCCAGTTTCCATCGGTAATTGTCTTATTTTACGTTTTTCCACACATCTGAACTGATTTACACCTAAACTAAAAAAAACCGTCCCCGGGAACGGACCGTGAACTAAAAATCACGGTCAACCAACCAGAACAAAATTTTCTCAAATATACACCGTGAACATGAAAACTCTTTTTTTCCCGTGTACACACAAGAAATCCGGAAGATCATAACCACTTAGGCACTATTGGAATTTTGCATTTTTCTCAACAAAATATTACTGAACACTAGCAGAATCCTTGCAAAAATGTTACAGAATTAAATTATTCAACTATAGATCAAGTTTTCGAGCATCTCAGGTGAAAAAGTGTTCCGCTTCCAATGTCTCACGGCAAAAATTTCTGATCGCAACACTCTTTTTGACGTTCTCATATTCACCACTAGAGGTTGAATCGATCGATTAGTTTCTATTAAAAAGGCGTAGGGTAGATAGGGGCAATATGGTCCCCCTAAGAAAAACACATGATAACACATGAAAAACATTCATAAATGTATGATAGCTGTGATCATGCTCATGCTTTGGAATATGTTTGATAATATACAATGTTTTAAATATGGATAAAAAATGATAGACTCAATCAATTATTATGTTTGAAAAATTTCAGTTTTTTCAGGGGCAATATGAGCACCTTAACGTTTCGACAGGTTTTCACTAGAAAATAACATTCAGGAATCATGTGAAATAGAAACATAAGTTCTTTTATCAAAAGTTACGTGTATTGCTCGCTATAGAACCAGCGGATCAGTAAAATGTAATATAGTGAATGCAATGCTTGTTTTCTTGACTGCATATCTTATAATATTCTAGAGATTTTGAGCTAATGTTACATTTCCATTATTATCTTAGACATGTTTGTAAAAAAATTAGATTGAGTTAATAGGTATTAGCCCAAACAAACGGTGGCCCATCTCGCCCCGTATGGTCTTCTTGCCCCATCCCCCCTATTGTCCACAATTTTAGCGGCGCTGGTGGTGGTAACCTCTCACCCCAACAAAAGGCCTGG